CAGCAACCATTGCAATACCAGACCTTGCAGGAGCCTGTCCCGTGGGTTGGCAGGGGATTAGCACATGGTAGAAGATTCTTTACTATGGTGAAATGGAAGACAGAAAACATGTCAGCTCTGCCAGATACATTGACTAGCAATCTCAAAGGCAGGCAGATCCTCTGCTGGTAACATTTCCCTCCTCAATGTTTTGTTTAGCTACTTGTAGCATGCTATTTTGATTCCCCCTACTGATCTTTTATCTCATAGTAATGAACACCAGGCCAGCCACCCGCTTTCACGCAGAGCTGCCGTAATTAAGGCAATCATTTCTTGTCAATGCTAGGCAGTCACTTTTAAATATTCAGTCATCAGGGATTTGCTGCAGCAGGCTCCAGGATGGCCAGAAATAAACAAATAAACTCCCAAACACTTTAAGGATATCAATTTTTATTGGACATTGCGAGATCAATAAGAAAAAATAATTTGTACAGCTTTGTGATATAACCATTGCTGCTGAAGAGTAAGGCTACTTGTCATGAGAAGAGACCTGATGCAGCCAACAGGGTGTTCCTAGCAGGACCCGCTCGGAGAAGCGGATGATGTTCTCCACTCACCCCGTCCTGCAGCAGCACCTTCCGCCTCAGGTAGGTCCACGTAGCCTTACGGTAGCGCAAATGGGGCTTCTTAGACATTAAGGGTGAGCAGCCCTGCTCCAAGAGACCCTCTGCAAATGGCTCACTGCCAACCACAGTTGCAGTATCAGTCTGGTACAGTGGTTACTGACCTTCTGCCTTGCTTCTCCCTCCCTCCGCTAATTCTGTCTTTCCTCTGTGCCTCGCAAGGTCACCTGGCCCAAGTTCAGCCCTTTCCTCCATGCAGCAGCTGCCGCACAGCAGCCCTCTTCCCCAAGGAAAGAGCTTTGTCTGCAACAGAGAGCTGACCTGATACTATTTTTGAGGCCTTTGGTGACAGCAGCTGGCAGGAGCTGATTTGTGACACCAGCTAGGGGGGAACCAGGACACTTTAGGAAGTAATCCAGCAGCTCAGACGCTTTCAGCTGGCAGAGTAACCCTTTCTAACCAAACCCAGACGCTTAAGAGTGATTGTAGAGCAGCAGCTACGGATATTGCTCTAGCACTGGGGCACCCAATCCATAGGACGGGCAGAGCTAGAAAAAGAGGCTTCGGTTTACACAGTATTTTTGCTAAGCTTTTTGCTTTTGACAGTTCTTAACAGTTTTAAAAAAAACAGATGCTAGGACAAAAGGCTGAGTTTCTACGGTGGCAGTGAGACATCCTCAGACTAGGCAAAATTCTAGTTGGCCCCATCATTATCTCAAACTACCATCCCTTTGCTATGTCAGGTAGGTGAATGCCAGACCAAGAGAAATTTTAGCATTGATTCAGCCCCTAAGGGGAGATGAGAATTTAGACGTCAGTAAGAGTTATGGACTGTATCATCTGTCCTAATATATGAAATCAAGACAGTAATCTTAAATCAATGAAGGGCTCAGCTGGAAAAAAGAAATCAAATTGAAAGGCTCTGTTGGCAGAAAAGGGGGCAGTTGTACCACGACCGGTTGATTGCCTGTACTGTACTAGTGCCAGCAGACAGACCCAGCTGCTGGACCCTACCCCTGGACCACTGACAGAATGGATATTTCTTATTGATACTTAAATACTTCTCGTAGAAGATGACTTGGGAACTTGTAACTGGTGCCAACACAGCATTCAGCCATCTGATGAACGTTCCCGTATTCACAACCAAAGAGAACATAAGTACAGTGGTTAAACAAGCTGAGCATGGTAGATAATCTACGTGATCAGACGTGAGCTGCCCCCCTCACACAGGCACCAAATGTACAGCCACATCCCAGGCAACTTGGGGCAACATAGGACAGTTTACATTTAAACGAAGGAGGGCAACAAGGAAATAACTTGATAATGAAAAACTAGGAAAAAAAACCCAACAAAAAACAAACCAACCTTCACACAACTATTTTTCAGCATTGTAAAAAAATAAAAAGGAAAGCAATCTTTTTTGACTTCCTGTGCCTACACCATGCAGGTCTCCTAGGCATTCTAGGAACAGGAGACGCTGCCCCTTTTTCTGCTGTTAACTGATGCAGTGCACACAGTATTTCTGAAGGAGTTCCATAAACTGTAGTGCAAGCAAACTGAGAAAATAAATAGCACTCGAACATTCCCTCTTGTCAAAGAACATTAATTGCAGTAAAAACTAGCTTGCTTTTTGTTTTAACTGAAGTCAGCTGCAACTTGTTTTAATATATGAAAATCTGAAGATGTGTTTCACAGCATAACTGTAGAATAATTTACACTGCATTGCCAATTCACAATTCAGTCATTTTCATTAACAGTGTACAAAGAAGGTCCTTAGTTTATATATATATATACTTTATAAAGTCTGGAAGATCAATATAAATACTGCTCCAGAAATTAAAAAAGTGTTTACATCCCCGACTTGAATATTACATCTCAGTGTCCTGGATTATTATTATAATCTGTAAAAGTCTTAGCGGCGCAGAGGTTCAAGTTTTCGAAATTTCAGTGATGAGCTGGATGACAAAGCATCTTGGTTTGAAGAAGAATTCACTGTGTCTGGGGACTGGAACAATACTCTACCACGATGATTAAATACATAAAAAGACGGATGGTTCCTTAATGTGTCAAACGTCCTTCAAAGTAAATGTAAAAAGTCAACGTTAATACTCTTTTAGAACAGGGGTTTTAGAAGAGTCAGTCTAGGGTATACCAACTTCTATAGACACAGAAATACAAGTTTTGAATCTGAAACTCTTGCTCACTTTGTAAGTTTCCTAAACCGAAATACAAAGCCAAGTGTGAAAAATACCGCCTGCTCTATATGCAGAGGTTGTCCACCCCACAGACAAACTTCACCTTCCTTCCTTGAGCTTAGAGGCAGGCCTGTGGACTTCTGCATGCACACGTACCAAACGTGCCAGCCTTAGTTCAGCTGTCACTTGTGTTAATAGCTTGACACTGTTTACTGTCAGCTTTCCATCCCTTTTTGTGCCTGAAGCTAAGGGTTTTGGGTAAATGCTATGAAATACAACAATGTCAACTTGTTTACTTTCCGTACTCCCTTGTGTTTTTGGAAATGGGCAGAGAGGCCGTGTCTGCCCATTCAATTTCATATCCTTTTCAAAATCTTGATTCAAAATCCCTTATTTTCTTAAAGTCTTCCAGATATTCTCCCTTGAATAGTTCAGTGTGAGATTTAAATAATTCAGACTCTTGTAAAGAAGCAAAGACAGAGGGTGAGCCAGGCATACCGCCCCATAGACTATGACACCATTCATGACAGCAGTTTATGACTGCTGAGCAATTACATCCCTCACAGACATTTCTTTTCTCTACCAACTCTGCACAGCAGCAAGATTTTAGGATGAGGAAAAGCAAGAAGTTTACTTAATTTGTTATCTAACTTTCTCTGAAATTCAAGACATTGTTGGCTTTCTCAGGTGTGACTGTTCCTCTCTGTTACTGTCTACAACATGCATTTAAGAACTACTATGCTAAAGAGTGAGCTATTTCACAGTGTTCAGTCTGTATAAAAAGTAGCAGATACAGGCATTTCTGAAAAGAAGTAGTAAAACATACTTATTTTTTAGTTCTGAAGTGGCATCCATGTCTTTAAATTCTCCTGCGATATGTACTATCCCATAGCAGGTAACTGCAAAGGCTAACAGAGTCTGAAGAACTATCTGTAACAGAGGGAAACACAATGCAACACACACATTACTTAACGTTCTTAATATTTACCAAAAAAATCTCATCTTTCAAACAGCATCTCTTGTGCTTTTCATCCAGTGACAGTAAGTGCTTTGCAGGGGTGAGCAATTCAACAGTAGGGAAACTGAGGCATGGGAAGATTAATTACCCCACCTATTTAGCATGGCAAAAGGGTGGCAGAGCTGAGAAGAGCTTCAGCTGCCTGACACCCGGTCTGTGTTGCACGCACTGAATCGATTCACATGGATCCTTAGAACAAAACACTCTGTTCTCGTGCACTTAAGGATCTGATACACTCTCCGAGAAACGAGTTGGCTGCCAACACATACTGTGCAGCGGTAGCAGCTGCTGCTCGGTCCATTTGGACCATGCCTGGTTGTCGTGGGTATTTGATCTCCTTACCTTTCTGATTAAGCAAAAATAGGATAATAATTGAAGTGGAATTTAAAAACCAAGCAAATAAAGCAAATTAAAAAAACCCCAACCTTCCTGAAGCAGGCTGTGCTGGGATAAAATGGGCGCGCAGCCACACTGGATAAACAAATGTCAGCCAACAAAAGCCAGAGGGAGGAGGATGTTTATGCTGCAAAGGAGGAGAGGAACGCAAAAGCTCTCTGAGCTACGTTCAGGGAATCCCTGGACAAGATGTTTCAGGGTAGTTCTAAAGGCGAAGAGGGAGGTCTGGACCCAGGGTTTGTTCTCTCTGACAGATATAACACACCGCAGGAAGCTGGGACAGAAAATACAGTTCTTTTTGACAAAGGGAGCTCAAATGAAGGCACAGTTTAAAAACTACTTTACCCTTTATTCTTGCCTATCATGTAAAAAAAAAAAGCATCTGAGAGAGACTAAACTATCCACACAGCATTACCCCTTTCAAACATTGTTGAAAACTTAAACTTACATCTATGGGCAACGTTTCATCTTCCTTTTCTGTTAGTCTCATATAAGAGCGATCTACAAAACAGAAACGCATGCACGCATCAAACACTCCGTACAAGCAAACAAACAGAAGCAGCAGTACAGAAACCCCACAAGAACCTGCTGTAGCTCTCAGACGTGTGTCAGTCCCGGGCGAGCTGGGCAGCTCCCGGATCTTGCTGCGGGACTCCGCTCCCCCGGAGCGGGGCTGACGACCCCCAGCCCCGGGCAGCCCCCCAGCCCCGGGCAGCCCCCCAGCCCCTCACCACCTCCTCTCCTGGCTGCCAGGAAGGAGGACGGCTCCAGGGACGGCAGATGCGAGGGATGAAGCCGCCATCCGGCAGCCTTGTCCGGGCCGGCTGCCGCCGCGCCTGCACGGAGCGAGCCCCGCGCTCCTCCCGGTAAGTTCCCGGCCACCGCCGGCTCCGCTCTCCCCGCGGCGGCAGGGTCAGCCCAGCCGGCTGGCCTCCCCGCGGGGATGATGGTGATGATGATGGTGGCGGTGGTGCCGCCGCGGCCCGGCCC